GTGCAAACCTGCTTCATGCATGACCTGTGTGTCAGCTCATAGGCCCCCAGGACGGACAGACGGACACACAGACGCCCATCTCCAGCACAAGAGGTGATGGGAATCACGTCCAAGTGCAAACCTGCTTCATGCATGACCTGTGGCTTCGTGCATGACCTGTGCACCAGCTTGTGGTCCCCCAGGACAGACAGACAGATGGACAAACACCATCTCCAACACATAAAGTGATGGGAATCGTGTCCAATGCTTCCTGCATGACCTATGTGCCAGCTTGCAGTGCCCCAAGACGGACAGACAGGTGGACAGACACCCATCTCTAGCACAAGAAATGATGGGAATCACGTCCAGTGCTTCGTGCATGACCTACATGCCAGCTCACGGTCCCCCAGGATGGATGGACAGACAGACAGACACCATCTCCAACACGTGAAGTGATGGGAATCACATCCAAATGCTTTGAGCACAATCTGTGCGCCAGCTCACAGGCCCCCAGGACGGACAGACGGACACACAGACGCCCATCTCCAGCACAAGAGGTGATGGGAATCACGTCCAAATACTTCATGCATGACCTACGTGCCAGCTCACGGTCCCCCAGGATGGACAGACAGACACCATCTCCAGCACACAAGGTGATTGGAATCACATCCAAGCGCTTGATGCATGACTTTCTTGCCAGCTCACGGTCCCCCAGGACAGACAAACATCCATGTCCAGTGCAAGAAGTGATGGGAATCAAGTCCAAGTGCTTCGTGCAGGACCTGTCCACCAGCTCACGGTCCCCTAGGACAGACGAACAGTTCACCAGGGGTGTCTCAGTCCCCCAAATGGGGTGCAGCAGCATGGCAAACACTGGTAGACAAAGCCACCAAGTCCCCGTCATCCCTGGGGGGACAGCGGCCACCACGCACGGATCTGGGCGTCAGCAGCACAAAGCCCCTTCAGCTCCTCCTGCGGGTGCGGGGTTTGGGAGAGCACCGTGGTGGTCCCACGGTGAGGAGCTCAGTACCAGGGGTCTGCCTGGTGCTGCTGGTTGTAGAGCTGCAGCTTGAGCTGGTCTTGGATCTGGTGGGTGAGGATCTGGGCCAGCAAAATGCCCATCAGCTGCAGGGGAGGAAGAGGAAGAGGAGGAACAACAATAAGAGGAACAACAATAAGAGGAGGAGGAAGAAGAGGAACAACAATAGGAGGAACAACAATAAAAGGAGGAGGAAGAAGAGGAGGAGGAAGAGGAGGAGGAGGAAGAGGAGGAGGAGGAGGAGGAGGAGGAGGAAGAGGAGAAAGAGGAGGAGGAGAAGGAGAAAGAGGAGGAGGAGGAGGAAGAAGAGGAAGAGGAGGGCGCTTAAGGACACCATCCAGCGTCACCCCGCTGTCCGACACCCAGGTCCCACAGTTCCATGCGAGGATGCACCCAACGTCCCCACTGCTCCCCCACCCCAAATCCTCCCCCAGCGTTGCAACCAGACCCATCCCACACAACACCCAGCTGCACTGCCACCCCAAATCCCCCAGGGGGTGATGGGGGACGCCCCAATACCTGGGGGACAGCCAGCCCCAGGGCGATGCCCCCCAGCAGGAAGCCGTGGACCCAGTTGAGCAGTTTGTCGATGCAGCCGGCGATGGGGATGGAGGGTTGTCGATGCAGCCAGTGATCTGGAGGAAGGCGCTGGCCTCCAGGTAGCCCTTGGCTTGCATGCCCTGCCCGCACATGGTGTTGATGACAGCCTGGAGTTTGAGGGGGGACAACAAAGAGAGGGACACAGGAGACAAAAATACAACAGGGAGCTGAGCCTTGGCGTCCCCAACCCCATCCTTCCAGCGCTGGGCTCCCCAAAAAGGGGCAACACCTTCAAAAAGCAGGAATTCAACCTCTCCTGGGGTGTCCCCAAGGATGGAGGGGGTGTCCCCAAAAACGCCATCCTCACCTGGTGGGCGTCCCGCAGGCAGCAGGAGAAGGGGACGGAGCAGCGCTCGCGGCTGGGGTTGGCGGTGGTGCAGTTGAAGTAGATTTTTTGGGACCAGTCCTTGTAGGAGATGCCCCCGCAGCAGCCGAACTTTGGGGTACGGATATTGGGGGGGGGAACTCAGTGGGAGGAACAGGAATTGGGGGGGGGACACACACACAACAGGGCACGAGACCGTGGAGTTCATGGGCAGTGAGTGGTGGTCCCCCCAAATCCCATCACCGTTGTCTTTAGGGATTAAACAATTTCCTCCTGGTTTTAGTAGGACCTACGTAAA